GTTTGGGGTTTAGGGGTCAAGAAAATCCAAAAGATGAACAAAAACAGTTTAACCTTGCGGACAGCCCTGGGTTTGTTTGTGTTTAGGGTTTAGGGTTTAGGATTTAGAATTTAGGGTTTGGAGTTTGGGGTTTAGGGTTTAGGGTTGAGTTCTCGAAAGCTTCTTGGAGTACTATGAGGCTACTTGGCGGGTAGACTTCTAATACTCAAAGGCTTCTCGGGGATAGCGGGTAGATTAACTCTGGCAAAAGATTTACCAAGGAAGCCCCGGCCCGAGACTCTGAAGATTCAATCCCCATAAGCCTTGAACCCTACGCCCCAAGCAAATAAGGCGGGACCACCTAAACACAAAAGTCAAGAATTCATAGGTAAGCCTGTGTGGCATAATTCTAGGTACCGAAGATCCACCTTTTTCTGCAGGGTGGTAGGGCAGAGCCTAGAAAATCAGGACCGCCTCCGTGACTGGCGTTCCGTGGTGTTGTATAGCTACCCACGCGCGTTTGTCGAAACGGCGGCGGAGCTAACGAGGCCTTCTACTGGGGTTTAGGTACCATTAGGTTAGAGTTTGAGTGCTAGGGTTCATGGTGATAGAGCATTCTTTTTGTCGTAAGTTGTCTCTCACAGTTCTATGAGACTGTGATGGTCTCCATACATCGGGGGACCATTGCTGCTAACTACACTGCTATTTTTTGGGGACAACAGTCATTTCGAGGTTGAACTGCGATAATTTTGGGTATACCTCTTCAAGGACAGCTACCGGGAGGCGCCAAGTGATAATGTCAACCTCTTCCACTTTTTGAATCTTACTCTGCCAGATTCTCTCGATCAACGTCGTAGAGCTTTGTTTGAAGTCCTGCCCATATCACTGCAACAAGGGTGGCCATAATCATGATGATGATGATGATGATTATGACGATGATGATGCCAGATACGATCTAGGATAATTAAGAGTTCACCGGGCATGGTCAACACCAACATTGTTGCTCTGCTCCCACCATTTGCTGCCTCTCGAGTGCCATCATCAGCATATTGCATTCTGGTGCTCTTTTGGAGTTTGCAGTCATTGCCACCATCCTTGCGCGTGAGACATGCCGACGTGGCAAATCCAAGGACCTCCAGCCCGGAATCCTTCCAGTACTCCCTCAGCCGAGGGTTGAGGGTTTAGGGTTTAGGGTATAAACCTTGAACCCTAAAGCCCAAGACCATCGAGTCCTTGCTCCATTCCCCTTAAGGGGTCACTTCCATGTGAAAATCGGAGTCCAAAACACCAGTCCATAGTCAGTCTTACCCTACTTCCCGATGTAGTGATTAGTAAGCCCCTCCTTCAAGGCTCAAGGGCCTTAATATTAGGATCCCTACTATAAGGACGGGGTTAATTAATAGGTTCTACACTACCAAACCTCTTAAACCCCCCAAACCCTAAGCAGCGTCTAGGGTTTGTGGTGTAGGGTTTAGTGTTTCACCCGCAAAGCCCTAAACCAGTTCTCTGGACCAGGATGTATCACGAGCAGGGCTGCGATGTTATGGTCACGGGCCACTCTCTCGGAGGATGCCTCTGACTTGACTGAATGCAGGGGCGAGGGTTCAGGATTTAGGGTGTAAGATTTCAGTGGTTTGCGCTTAGGATTTCAGGGTTTTGGGTTTGGGATTTTAGGGTTTTGGATTGAGGATTTCAGGGTTTGGGGTTTAGGATTTCAGGGGTGTTGGGTTTAGGATTTCTTCACGGTTTTGGGTTTAGGATTTCAGGGTTTTCGGTTTAAGATTTCAGGGCTCGGGGTGTAGGAGTCGAGGTTTAGGGTTAAGGATTTTGGAGCTTAGGGTTTACCTAAACAATCAGGGTTTCGTTAGTGTTCGGGGAGCGAACAGTCCAAGCAATGCCCAGGTAATGTCCTATATTCTTGGGGGTTTCCCAAAATTAGGGGTACCTTTTTGGGGGTCCATATAATAAGGACCAAAGTATTTTGGGGTCGAAATTGGGGTTTCGTTGTTTTGGGGAATTACCTCTTGTGTCGTAACCATTCAAGTAGACAATGTGCGTGTTCTGTGTTGAGCCTGGTCTTCTTTTCTGTGTTTTTCTAGCTGAGCCAGTCAATAAGCTTCATACTGTTGATGGAGGTAATCTCGCACCACCTTAAAGCCCCTAAAGTCCTAGGAATTACAGTAGTTTAGGGCCCCTAGGTGGTGCAAGGTTTCATCCATCAACAGTAGGCCTTGAAAAACATACGTTAACCCCTTATGGAGTTTCTTTGCTACCCTGACTGCTTCACAGGGCAGCAATCATCATTATTACTTCTGCCTTCGAGCCCGGCTCATAGGATCCCCCAGCCCCAAATAGGCACAAACAAGCGGTTTAGGGTTTAGGGTTTAGGGTTTAGGGTACCTTCAGGGGTTCCACTACTAACCCCCTGTACTCTTCCCCACTAGGTTCGCCCCTTCATACACCTTAATTATCCCTCGATAAACCCATTTTCTTTTCCATTATCCTAATAGAACCCCCACTACTTAAGGGGGAATAGCCTCTAGTAAGGGGGAACCTGAAACGCTTCGTAGGAGCACTGAAGAATTCTTTGCGGAGCTACCCTTCAGGGGTTTAGGGTTTAGGGTTTAGGTTTAGGGTTTAGGGCCTACGGGCGATCACCTACTTCAGAAGACCAACCCCCTAATAGGTGCAGCAGTTCTTCCATCCTACTTTTTCAAACCGCAAGTCAAAGAAGGGTTTCAACTCTAGGGACCTTGGTTTTGTGTAATCTAGGGGCCTAAATAATTACCACTATTATGGTTCCAAATTCCTTGTATATTTATAGTATATTGTGCCTGAAATGGACCTCAAAATGATACAAGTATTGGTAATTCTTCAGGCCCCTAAACCCTAAACCACCCTAACCCCATAATATTGGTAATGTTTTTTAGGCCTCTGTAGTAGGGTGTACCAGCATCCCCATCACTACCTCAGATCCCCGGGATACGCGGTTTAGGGTTTAGGGTCGGGGGTTCCATAAAACCCTATATTCCCCCAGTTTC